CATTTTCTTACGTTGCACATCAACGTTTAAGCAGTGTAGCCTAAATTGTCTTATATAAATAGTTCAACGTTCATTATCCATTTGAGCCATTGTCTTATCTATATCTTACGTGGCCAGAACGTGCCACAAATGTCACTAGTACCTTAGAAACGTCTGTTCCAATCGTAGCCAGCTTGTTAACTCTGTTCGATTCAATAACTTTGATACATTTCATTCCTTATCTCAAGTTGTATGGTTTGGTCACAAATAAAGCTCAACTCATTTTAATGACTTAAAACATCAAATTAGCCCAAATCACTCAAACCATAAATTATGTATAGCAATATCTAGGATTTTGATGTTTAGAAAAATAAAAAATCAATTTTTATTTTTATTTTTATTTTTTTAAACAAACATTCTACATCAAGCCTGAGCCTCCTTCTTCTTCGACCTTCTTCTAGTTTTACTAGTAAGTGATGCTAATAATGCATAATGTCAAATTGTTGAAGATTGTGATGATAAGGAGGTTAACAAAATATTTTATTATCTACAAAAAGTAATAGAAAATTTCAATTTGAAATAAGGGAGCTCGATGAATATGGTTTTGCATTGGATGAAGAAGTTGATGTTGAATTGGACTCATATAAATTAAACAACATTTAGATTTATTTATTTTAAAGTTGATGTTTGTGTCTAATATATCTAATTGTAATAACTGATTACCAAATTATTTTGTATTTATAATTTTAAACGATGTATTTTTATTGAGAATTTGAAGAGTATGTATAATAAAGTTCAAATAATTGTAATATTTATGATTTTGAGCAATTTTTTGTTTTTTTTTTTTATAATTTTGAAAAATATGTATAAAGGAATGCATTGTTTAAAATATAAAAAATAATATTAAAAATTGACAAAAGCAAAGTTAAGCATATGCTTTGCATAAGCAAGTATATGCTTGATACTTGACTGAAACGCATTGTCACACATCATGTATTTTAGAACTTTTCGTATAACTCTTTTCAATTTTCACCAATGAAATTCTTATGGATTTTTAATGATAAAATTTCATCATTTCATTAAAATCCATTAAAATTTTAGTTGAATTTACCTAGATTAGAATCTATTTAAATCTTAATTAGGAACACTTGAATTTAAAATGATTTTTAAATTTTATCAAAATCTCAATTGAGGACACCCCTAATAATTCATTTTTGGGTGATTATGTTTACATCACAATTTTTATTTCTTGTACCACATTTTAATTTTACTTATGTTTCGTAATCTTTGCTCATCATAGCACTTATGTCCGTAACGATTTTTCATATCATTTTTATATTCAAACTTTTCATTAGTTATCACATTTTTTCATCTTATTTTTAAAAATAAATAAATAAAAAGTACGAAAAAATATTTTTCCTTCATTTCATTAAAACAAGATATTTTAATATAAATCATACCAAGAATGAGATGTACTAATTAATGGAATGCTGAAAATAAAAATTCGATGAAAAAAAGGTCTAGTAAATAATTGTCACAATGAGGAAAGATTGAGAAGTTTTATCGTGATTGAAATATGGTATAGTAACTAAAAATTGTGGTGATAATATAACCGCTTCATTTTTAATATTAGCTGTATTAGATTCATATTCATTTTTTTATGAAATTGAACTTGTTCCTTGCTAAATAGTTGTCGTGTATTTATATTTCAATTTACGTGAATTGCTTTAAATTATTGAATAGGAATTATAATTTATAAGCTCAAATAGAGAAAGGAGTTATCAATTTTTTATTTATTATTATTATTTTTTTTTTCTTACGCTTTTTGTACCAAAAGGCAAAAGCAATAAGATTTTGTTCAATCAACACGGACTAGTACTATACAATATGAATTAATCTATTTTTAGTATTATGCTTGACAACAATAATTGACAATATTGGTGTTGTCAAAATCTAGGCCATTACTTTAAAAACAGTTTTTAAAATAAATGAATATGATGTAATCAAGTGTGTGTTGTCAACTAAGATTGTAAAACTAAATTGTACATGTAGTATGATTCATAAAATATATGATCAAACATTAAATCATCCATTATTTTAATGTGGTATAGAGCAACAAAAAGTTTAATGATAACATATCTTAATCCTACTTTCATATTGTCCCAATCTAATCCATTATACTTTACCACATGCACTCAAATAAAAATCTTGATAACAAAGATGAACTATATATTCATAAAATTAATTAAGTGATAAAGAGGATTAAACGCTCATTTGGCATGACTTTTGAAAGTTGAAAAGAGCTTTTGAAATTCAAAAGCTGTTTTTGGATCCGATTGGCAAATTTTATGAAAATTCTTCTTCTAGTTAGAAGAGTTCTTAGAAGAAGTTAGTCCAATGTAAATTCTTCTAACTAAAAGCTTATTAGACATGACTTGTTCTTTTGCTATTGTTTTATAGTCAAAAAGATTCTGAAGTAAGTTACTTTAATTTTTGATTGAAAGTTAAATTTAAAAAAAAAAAAATTCATGTTCCAAAAGTACTTTCAGAAGAAGTCATATTAAACCCGCTTCCTTTGAAAGCTCTCATAACTAGAAGTAACACTTTCATAAAATTAGCCAAAACGGGTCCAAAAGTAAATCTTGGATCTTAACGGTACCTTTTGAATTTTTTAAAATCATGCCAAATGGGTTCTAAAGTACTTTCGAAATATTAAGGGCTTGTTTGATAGGAATTTTGTTAATTGAATTTTTGATCGTTGAAGATAAAGTGGATCCTACCTATAAGGGAAGAATTCAAAAATAAAGAATGAAATATTGAAATAACAATTAAAAAAATTGATGTTAATTGGATTATAATTTTTACCAAACATGTTCTATGCTCTTTTAAGAATTAGTCTCTAAACAAAAATTACGATAGCTTCCTCGTAAAGCTTTCATATGGAACGCAAAAATAAAAATAATGTAAAAGGACCTAAGTCTACCGGCCGAGTCATTATTACTTTCTCATCATTCTATTATAAAATTATTGGAAACATCCCAACATGACTCGAATATATAATATATCTTAACTTCAAGACAAAAGTTATTTGCTTGCGTAGGCCATGTCTGTCTCACATTTAGAAATTCATTTGGAATATTAATCGATGGTGGAATTTGAAATTATTTGTCATTTATACACACAGATGATGAAACATATGTTGTTTACGTAACTTCAAGTGCATTGACAGAAAGCAGTAATGCAAAAGTGTGATTTAGGTTTAGATTTGTTGTTACTTCACAAGTCCAAAATCACGATCCACATATTATTAACAAGAATTTGTCATCAAAATTTAACTGTAATTTAGCCCCTATTTATTTCGCATTTTTTTCCCATTAAAATAAATAATATGACCGTTATCCATCACATCAAATTACCAAATTTGAATTTTTATATCTTGTGTGGAGCCATAACGAACATATTTTTCATTCTCATTCTTACAAAAATGGAAAACAAACACCCCATAATATTAGTCAAATTGTCATTTACATATGGACTTTATTTCAATTATACACTATAAATCCGTAGGCAATACGGAAAATTTTATCTCGCAAAGCAAAATCTAATATGAGTTTCCTGTAGCCAATTGTGCAGAAATAAAAGTTCAGTTATTACCGAAGTTTAAGCACGACAAAATTTATTGGTATGTGGACTATGCAAATGCGCACAATGACAAGAAACTTGTTTTTGAATGCAATTTTACATATAGAGAGATACATGTTTACTTCCTTTTCCTTCCTTTTCATTAAATTGGCCTATGAAAGTTTTGTATTTGTCTTCTGATAAGTGTGTTATATATACTTATTTGGATCTCTAAAATTTACATAAAAGTTCATTAATTGAGTGAATTCATTCTCACTTTATGTTGGATTTGACTTTTGTTGGCTTAATCCCTAATTTGAACGCATGCAAAGCAAAGGATGTATTCGGAGAATTAATCGGACAAAAGATGATTTAATTTGATGAATGTCACAAAATTTTGAGGACTAAAACGGACACTCGGAGAACTTTAGAAATAAAATTGAAGAGATCAAAAGTTAGAGGACCAAAAGTGATGGGTCAAAAAGTTGAAGGGCCAAAATAGATGAAACTAATAGTTTGATGGATGAATTGAATAAGATGAAAGTACAGGACCAGTTTGAAATATCTATCTAATTATTGCGTGTCAGGGGTGGGGCCAATGATGGAGTGTATGGTTTCCTTTTGAAATCCTTTTGGAAACCTAAAGGCTCGTTTGTTTGTGTATCAATTTTTAATTTGATTTCATTTTTAGTTTTCTGTTTTGAGAGCCCATTTTAAGAATGTTAAAAACACGTTTGATATGTCATTTTGAAAAATTATTTCTCAAAACTAGAAAGCACTATAGATTTGTAATTTTGAAAATTGGTTTTATGACATTTAATTTCAATTAGATTATACAGTAAAATTGAGCAATTTTAAGTTAATATATTATTAATTAATATATATACATTTTCAAGTTGGTAAATCTTACAATAATTTTCTCTATAATAATAATAATAATAATAATAAGATTGAGTTCAAAATATGGAAAATGAAAAACAAAAATTAATTAAGTGAAATATTTTATCTATGTTATTTTAAATATTTTTTTAGAAATTTTTATGTAAACAATTATTAAGAGCTTAAACTATTTTTTTTTCTAGAAATTTTTTAGCTTTATTTTTTCAGATTTTTTTTATAATTTTAGCTATTATTTTTTTTTCAATTTTTTAAAAGAATTTATCAATTTTATTTTTAGAATTCATCTTTCTTGAATTTTATTCTTTAAAATTTAAAAAATGTTATTTTTTATAATTTTATATCTTTGTTTTTAAAATTTTTATTTAAACTTTTGTTTTTCATATTTTGAATCGCTGAAAACATTCAAAACATATATATTCCAAGTCTTAAAGTATTAAAAGGAGAATCACATTTTAGAGAACAAATAAAAAACACAAGAATTCATCTTTTTGAAAAAACCAAAGAGAAAATCCAAGGAATTATTGAAAATGCAAGTTTGAAGATTTATGGGTTTCTTTGGATTCAAAACAAGATTTTAAAACTTTTTGTTGCTAAAATAAGTAGGTGATGTATATATCAATTTCTTCTAGTTTTAATTTTCACTATATTTCTTGGTTAAATTTTTTTACTAGGGCGAATAATGTAGCTAACTGACTTTCATTCATTTTTTTTTTG